CACAACTTTTATATTTCCTAATTTCCAAAGTATGTTCATTGTAAAAATGAGAAAATACAGGTAAGCAAAAAGAAAGAAAGAGGGGGAAGAAAACATTTGTAATTGCACAGCCAGCTGTGAACATTTGGTAGGTCCTTCCAGCAGTGTTTGTACGCGTGCCTGGGTGTGCAGATTAGTAACGGGAAGTAAAGTCACCGGTTACTGTCTGTACCATCTCTCAGGGCACGGTCTGCACATTTCCTACGTTCTTTTATACAGTTGGGGATGGCCACGTGAAATTGTACTGCTGTCGCTGACTCTGTCCAGTTGCTGGAGGTCAGATTGCTTGGTTTCATTCTGTACGCACGTTTTTATTTATTTATTATTATTTTTTATCCTCACCGGAGGACACTTTTTTGCATTTACCTTCAGATAGCGCAGGAAGGAGAGAAGGGAGAAGACAGAGAGGGAGAAACATCGATGTGAGAGAGACACATGGAGTGGTCGCCACCCACACAGGGACAAACTACAACTGAGGTACATGTCTTTAGCGGGAACCGAACCCGGGACTGTCTGTTCTGCGGGCCGATGCTCTAACCACTGAGCAAACTGGCCAGGGCTGTAGGCACGTTTTTTAAGGTTTTGATACAGATCACATTCTGAACTGCTAAGGGCTTGCGCCTGATTAGTGGCTATCACTGGGCTCAATCTCTCTGTTCTTCAGAACCCTTTGATGCCAGCAAAGGGTGATGTTTCCGGTAGGAGTAAGGCGTTATGCTGTTCTGACCTGATTCCAGCAGGCGTCAACACACCTTGGAACACAGTGTTTTGCTTATGGACTAACTTCCCCAGGTGGTGAGAGAGGGGCATGGGCTTGGCCCCTCGGCACAGAGGACCGTTGTCACACGTCCTGAGGGGAGGAGACCTAGGCTGGTGCAGGACTGGACCCAGGGAGCTGCTGTGTTGGTTCTGCATCTGGAGCCCTGGGCGTGGCCAGGAGCTTCATGCTCAGGTTGGTTAGCTGGGTCACCAGGCGTGCAGTGGTCCTGGGAGATGACAGCCCTCCCAAAAGTCAGTGATCCTTCACTGAACAGACTCCGAAAACGAGGAGACACGGGAAGATCTTATTGGAAACCTGGGGGATGGTGAGAAATGGGTTGATTCCCTTTTCAAAGTGTATTGGTAGAGAAACACGTGCCAGGAACAGATTTTGCCAGAATAATGGCGCCTGTGTAAACACCAGAAGATTCAGGTGAAGGCCACTCGTGCAATCGCTTCTATTTTACTTTAGCTTAAGCCTGCAGCTCAACGTTAGTTAAGAATTACTTAAGGCAGAGATTGATTTCACAGACTCTGTAAATATTAGACTGACATCAGTTTCGTTTTGTTCCACCCGCTCCTTGAACTCTGTGTTGTAGGTAGTGAATCAGCCTTGGCTATGAGTTGGTCTCCACTCTTGGCTTTTGGAGCACATATCTGGCGGGCAGCAGAGAACCCCCAGGATGTTTGGCTCCCAAGACATTGGCTTGCATTTGAACTTAGGGAAAGTTTCCAGTAATTGTCATTAACGTTTTATTCATACAGCAGAGGACGCCGTTAGCTTGAGCCAGACGTGGGCTGGCGGGAGTCCCACCTCCCGGGCCAATCCAGTCAGCTTCCCAAGGGGCGGGGAGTAACCCCTGCAGGACCACAGGGCAGTGCTGGCTTGCTCCTTGCACTGTAACACCAGGACTGTCCTGCCACAGCTTCACCCAGAGCAGTCCTCCGAGCGTCTGCTGTGGGCTGCTGGTGACCACGAGGACCTGTCCTCACCCCCGGACCGCAGACGTTACAGTGCCCGGAGAGAGGAGCACTGGGTGCCCTGGGGGCTGGGAGGGAGGGGGCATACTCCTTGTCTTGGGGAACCAGGACCCCTGTGGAGGCAGGGGAACGTGAGAAGGAGGAATACTGGTTTTCCAGGTGAGATGCAAGAGAGAGACTCTCAAGACAAACACGTATTTTTATGGATGTTTTCAGGGAGAAACTTGTCACCTAGAACTCAGAACTCATGGTCTATTGTAGGACCACGTGGAGCAGCTCAGAGCATGGTATGAATGATGCAGCAGAGCCTGCCTTGGTTTAGACTCAGGGGGTCCGAAATAGTGCTTTGTTTACTCCCGTAGGATTCCCGTAGTTCTGAGAAACGCCCGGCCCTTGGGCCTGCTGTTCAGGAGAGAAGCCCCGACGCCCAGTCTGAGGGTCCCTTCCTGCCCTCTGCCAGAGTCTAGTGGTGGACCCCAGGGACGCTGTGGCAGATGCCCCCTGACTCAGGAGTTTCATTTTAGTCTTAAGTATCAGAGGAATTCCGCCCTCACATTAGTTTCCTCAGAGTCACTCCCTCTGTCCTCAGACTCTGATCTTTTTTCCCCAAACACCCAGTATTATTGTCTCAAAGACTTGGGAATCATTATATTTTTTACTTCAAAAAATGATTGTCGAGGTTACTAGAGCTAAGGTAAGACGTGGAGCCCTTGTTTTCCCAAGTGGGATCTTGGGGTGAGAGGTTCTGAGCCGATTCAGGTTCTCTCACAAGTAAGAGTAAATATAAGGCCCCCCGTGTTTTTAGTTGCCCTTTGATAGCTGCATAAATGTGAGGGATTCCTACTGACACTAAAAGTATTTGCAACTCTGTTTGGAAGGTTTTATTAATAAACAGTATTTCTTTTCAGTGGGACCAGTATTAAATCTTTAGTTAAACCAAATATTTTATTCTCAGGACCTCTTTAAAGTTGTACAAAATATTGAGACTATCCCTAAGACCTTTTGCTTATATGGATTATGTTTACTAATATTCACCATATTATAAATTAAAACTAAGAAATTTAAAAGTTAGCCCTGGCCAGTTTGGCTCAGCGGTTAGAGCGTCGGCCTGTGGTCCGGAGAGACCCGGGTTCGGTTCCCGCTAAGGGCACGTACTTCGGTTGCAGTTTGTCCCCGGCCCTGGTTGGGTCATGTGGGTGGCAGCCACTCGATGTGTCCCTTTCACGTCGATGTTTCTGTCTCTTCCTCTCTCTTTCCCTCCCGCTCTATCTGAACAAAAAGTGGGAAAATGTCCTTGGGTGAGGATAAAAAAGAAAAAGATATTTAAAAATTAATTCCAACTTAAAGATGCCTTATATATTAACATAAATAACATATTTTATGAAAAATAAATCTATTTTCTAAAAAAAAAAAAAGATTTAGAGGATTGGCATTTTGTTTTAATTTGTGCAAATCTCTTTAATTTTTGATGTAAGAGGAGACAGATGATTCTCATATCTGCTTCTGTGTTCAGTCCACTGTGATTTGTTAAAAATCTGTTAAGAAAATCCGGCTTTACATAGATATGCTGTTGGAGAAAAGGGGGGACTGCATGGAGCCCTGAAAGGACCTCAGGGGCTCCAAAGGTGTTCTTGGACCACTCTGGGAAATTCTGGGTCAAACAGATAAATTAATTACCAAGGAATATGATGGGTTTTAAATGAAAAACTGTTTTTGAGAATTTGGATGAACTGTGGATCAAATCAGTCCCTTATGAACAGAGTAACAGGTTAAGAAATCTTATATAAAGTATTGTTTTTATGGGTTTTGTACTCTATTCTACTTGCTCTTTCTTTGAGCTCCTCGAGGGTACATATGAAGTCCTCTGTAATTGAATTGAATCACTGAAGTCCATCTTTATAAGATGCTCTGCTTGGTCCTTTCTTTATTTCTTACCCCAGTTCAGGAGTTGATGTGCTTTTTCTGTAAGAGATTGGAGAGTAACTATTTTATTTTATTAAAAAAAATTTTTGCCCTGGCCAACCGGGAATTGGAACGTTGTCCTGCAGACCAGAGAGTCCCAGTTTCGGTTCCTGCTAGGGGCACGTACCAAAAAAAAAAAAAAAAAATTTTTTTCTTTATTGATTTTAGAGAGAGAGAAAGGGAGAAGTAGGGAGAGATGGAAACATTGATGAGAGATCATCGATTGGCCACCTCCTGCATGCCCCCCATGGGGGATCGGGCTCAGAACCTGGGCATGTGTCCTAACTGGGAATCTAACTGGTGACCTCTTGGTGCATGGATCGACGCTCAACCACTGAGCCACACCAGCTGGGCAAAGTAACTATTTTAGATTTTGTGAGCCCTCTGGTCTCTGTTGTGATTACTTAACTTGATCAAATATGTAAATAAATGGGTACGGTTTTTTCCCAATGAAACTTTATTTAAAATTTTTTTTTTCCTTTATTGACTTTTTAGAGAGAGAAGGAGAGATAGATAGAAATATGGATGAGAGAGAACATCGACTGGCCGCCTCCTGCATGCCCCCCACTGGGGATTGGGCTCACAGCCTGGGCATGTGCCCTGACTGGGAATCAAACTGGTGACTTCTTGGGGCATGGGTTAACACTCAACTACTGAGCCACACTGGCTGGACGCAATAAAACTTTATTTATAAAAATAGGTGATGAATTGGATTTGGCCCAAGGTTTAGGTTTGCTGGCTCCTGCTATAGTTATACATTAGAGTCATAGCCTTGAAAGTATTTTTCCCTAGGTCCTCAGTGTTTGGCCATGAAAAATTAAGTGATGTTAGTGATGTTCAAGGAAAAATAAAACACAAAAGTTGAAGGTCTTCCTTTTTATTTTATGACACATCTGGAAGAGTCCGTTTCCAGTGGTGCTGGCTGCAGGGCAGCTAGTGAATCCGGGGCAGTCCTCCGGGGCGAATCGGAAGAGGAGTGTTGATTTCAGGAACCAAAGAGGATGAATGATAGAGAGTTTATTGGCTTTACGGTTTATCCCTTTCCTGGGTGCTTGTTAAGTATCTGGGCAAGTCAGAGCCAGTTTTTACTTTTCTCTCTAGTTGGTTCGATCATTATGAAGTACAGACCGACCTCCCTAAATCCAACAGAGACAGTCACCCCGTCACTTCACTTTTACTTACTCCGCGTAGGTAACGGGGCGGGGGCACCATGGGCGTGGCGTTTCCTGTGCCTTTATTCCTTTCCTCTCTCCCTGCAGAAATACAAAGAGTACGAGAAAGACGTCGCCATCGAAGAGATCGATGGCCTGCAGCTGGTGAAGAAGCTGGCGAAGAACATGGAGGAGATGTTTCACAAGAAGGCTGAGGCGGTACGGGTAAGTGCCTCGGGTTGGGCTCTTGATCGTCGAAGTCACAGCTTCAGGGAGCTGGCGCTGATGAACCCAACTCTTAAAGTGGGCTCCACGTTATGCAAACTCTCTTTCCTGGAGCCTGGTTAGCCAGGAAGAGTCGTTACGGGGGCAGGATTGCCCTCTCCGGCCACGGTTCAGGTTTTCACTTCATAATTTTGTTTCCTCAAAGGTGGCACTAATTATACAGCCAAAGAGGATGGCTTAGGACTGGGTGATGCCTTTCCTAATGATAAAAAATCATTCAAAGGTACATTTTGGTTCAACTGAGCAATTATAAAAAATGTAAGTCCTGCGTGCCAAAACGTGGAATCGGAAACCTCAACGGAGCGCACGAATCCAGATGAAGTCAGACGTTCTCTTTATCACTGTTGGGTTATCACTGTAATTATAATGTTTGTCTTGACTGCTAAGAGCTTCTGGAATTTCATATTATCAGCAGGGTGAATGGAACTACAGGGCACAGATACATCATTTTGGATTTCCAAGGTGGTTTCCGAGTTCGTTCCTCATAGCCAGCTAAACAAGACATCCTTCATCCTGGCTTTAGGACATATGAATGTTGCTGTAACCTACGTGAATGCCATATTGGCACAGGATTACGGGAGAGAATTGCAATGTGCAGAGTTCCCTCTCTGATTTGCAAAAGATGAGACTGAGAGGCAGAGTTAAGTTGCTTTCCAGGGTCACGTGGGAAGTGAGAGGTGGGCTACAGGCACTTGAGACCCCAGAGTCCACATTCTTCATCCTTCCATGTCCTCCGCATCTTGCAGTGTAACACGTTCCTTAAGATGAATCGCTGGCCACGAAAGACAGCTCAGAGGCTGTGAACCAGTCTTCAAGGCTCCTATGCTCTCGAAAGCATTTCTGTCCAGGCGGGCGTGTGCCTGTTCACAGCCCTTCCTGCAGGAGTGGTGTGTGAGGGCTCCTGCTCCTGAACTCGTATGAAAGCAAGGAAAATGTTTTATTCTGTTTTAAATACTACTAGCAACATTGTGGAGCTGAGAAAGGGAAATGCGAATTGTTTAAACTTGCATTTCCTTGTGAATCACACAATTTTAGAGTAGAAAGAGACATAAATATCCTTAGGTTCTGCCTCTTCCTTGTCAGAAGAGGATGCGCTGGTGTGTGGAACTCGGGGGCTTGTGCCACATTCCACCCTAAGAAGGAGGCCCAGCCCTGGCCGGTTTGGCTCAGCGGTTAGAGCGTCGGCCTGCAGACCAGAGAGTCCTGGGTTTGGGTCCTGTTAGGGGCACATACCAAAACAAACAAAGAAAAGAAAAGGAAAAAAAAAAGGAGGAGGCCCAGCCAGCGTCAGAGCCCGTATCCTGCTGCTCAGAGGTAGGGGCCCATGTGTCAGCCACGGGCGAGTCTCAGCTCTGCCCCCTGGTGTGAGGCTGGTGAGAAAAAGCTAAGAAACCCAGGAGACCTCTTTTCCTTACTTAGCTGGAGAAGGTAGGAATCCATGACTTACTAATCCACGCTTACGTTCATCGAGTTCACTGTGCACCAGGCCCTGTGCTCAGCGCTGGACATGTGTCCTCTCATTTTATTCTTGCACCCACCCTGGAGTGAGATGCTGTCACCATCATTGTTTTGGAGATGAGCAAACAGGCTTGGCTGGGTGACCTCCTCTGCCCAGGCCACCTGCGGTAGAATCGCAGTGCTTCTGTGTGTGTCTGTGTCGTGTGTACCAATGTACCTGCAAACAGTACACTTCCAGTATATGTTTGCTGTTACCGCTGGTTCACGGACCTTCCAGGTGTGCACATGTAATAGTGAGTCTTGAAGCTTCAGGGAGCCCTTGGGCGATGGCAGGAAGGAACCACATTTTGAAACCATTTCCTTTAAATTAGTAAAATTGAAAAAAAAAAAAAAGAGACTGATATGATTAGTGTGGTTCCTTTGAAAGGAAAAAGGAAAGTTGCCCTGCTTGGTACCCAGAATGAAGGCATCCAGGGTTCTCTGAAACATGTATTTCATGTATTTTAAAATAGATGTACAAGGCCCTCAGTGAGCACACTGGATGCCATAAAATCGAAGTTACCCAGTCTGGTGATGGAGGCTCTCCCCTCCCAGTCTTAGCGCAGGAAGGAGGGCTCGTTTGTTAAGTTGGGGCTGGGTCTGGAGACAGTTTCCCATTGAGACGAGCCTGGTCCTGCTGTCAGCCGTGCAGCTCTGATGGCAGGAGGTGAGGTGGCCACGGAGAGGCCCCCTGGATGGTGGTGTATGTCGCCGCCCGGGGAGCAGAGGGCATGACGATTTTTCACACCAGGATGAGACCTCACTTCTTGAATAGGAACGGTGGCTATTTGCCTGTGGGATTTGTGAGCCTTTGGAGAGCAGGGACCTCCAATCCAACGTGCCTGTGGATTTGCAGGGGAGTCACTGTCTGCAGCATGGCCCTCGCAGACACCCCAGGGCATCGGGGCCCTTCCTCCCCCAGGCCACTCTCGGAGCAGCGACCCTCTTCTCCCATGGCCCCGGAAAAGACAGAGTCAGAATTCGCGCCACCACCGCGAGGCACCACACCTCGATATTCCGTGTCCGAGCCCCATCCCCACCCTCAGCAATCTGAGTCCAGGTCGGAGGTTCTGGCTCCTCCCGCGTGTTTTCTGCCAGCGACCAAGTGCTTATCCATGGTGGGTGGCCGGGAGGACTCAGGAGCATGTGTGAGAAAATACTGGCTTACCCACAACACGAATTGTTCCCATTGCCATTGATGTCTAGAAAATATTTATGAGACAGGCGCTAGCTGGAGAACTGCATCCTCACCTTTCGTCTGTGAGCCATAGTGAGAACTGGGAAAGGGGAGCTACGCACTGTGTTGCTGTCCTCCAACAGGCCACCGTCTCCCGGTCCCGCGACCGTGTTGATCCTTCCTGGCTCTTCTGGATTGATTTCATTATTTTACCCGTCACTTTCCCAGTGATTAGTTGGATCCGAGTGATTTTATCATACTCGTCCCCTATTTGAATTACTCTCCACTATGCAATTATCCTATCACAGAGAGTCCCATTTTCTCCCCGCCGGGGTGTGAAGTAAGTGTGAAACCGAGAGTGGCCCGCGCGTTACATAACCTCTGTCATCGGCTTGGTAATGGACTATATGTAACTTTTTTTTTCCCAGGCCAGCAAATTACAGATAACCTTAGCTTTAATAATTGCCATTAACATAATGGTGCCATCATTCTGGTAGCATTTCTTAACGAGTATTTTCTAGCGTTTCAGTGCCATCGGGGGTTTAAATCATGTTCCTGAAGGCACTTGGAGGCTTGAGGGAGGAGGTTTTCACTCGGAGCCCGATGGGGCTCGGTGCAGGGCTGCTGCTCCTGGCGCGCGTGGATAATGACCGTGCCCACAGCAGTGTCTCCCGGCTTCTTTGTTCAAACATATTCATGCCACCAAGCGCTCAGTGAATGTTGCCGAGCCATTTGTCAGGTTTTAGATCCTATGAATGGATGAGAAATGGAATCAATTTGCTTTCAGCTCCTTAACATTTCAAGGGAGTTCTTTCCCACACCGAACGTGGAGGACGCTGTTCCTCTGTCCTCTGCCTGCTGACGACTCCCGTTGGGCCACTCCTAAAGGACACCTGGAAATGCTCCACTTGTCACAGGTCAGAGCTCTTGTGAAATATGGACGGGAGGCACGTTTGACACAGCTCCCCTTTCTTCTGTCTTGCTAATGGTGACACATTCTCTTCCCTGATTCGAGAGGAGGGAGAAGGCGCAGGATGCGTGTTCTGTGGCCTTGGCTGTGTGGACACGCTGCCCTGCCTGTCCTTTGTCTTTAAAATCCGAGCCTCCACTTGGACCCGCACAGACCGTCACACACAGGAGGATCGTCTGAGCTCCAGGGACGCGGAGCAGGCACAGCGAAGTGTGCCGTAGGAGACTGTAGAAAGAGGCTGAGTGACTGTGGGCATCTCTAATTATAGGGCCGTACTCTCCAAACAGGTCCCAGCACTGTCAGGGGAAGTAATGATCTTGAGGTTTCAACACGGCTCATGTGCTCCAGAGGAGCGGCTCAGCCCGCAAAGGGTAGCCAGACCAGGAAAGGACAAAAGGAAGGACACTGGAGGATCTATAAATTACACTGGGATTCTCCAGAGCAGCATTGCCCTGGATTATTGGAGCAGCTCTGCAGCGGACGCTGCCTCCCTCACCTGATTCGGGCCCGATTCCAGCTTCCCTTGCTCTTGGTTCCAGGTGCTCCCGGCTTCTCTGGCAAGCGCTGACCACTGGGCTTTCACTCTTGGGCTCCACAGAGTTCGGGCCTCCAGACACGTAAACACGTTTCACAGAGGGGGACAGGATTACGGAATGGTATCAGCCAAAACATTAAGTGTTTTATTAGCTGTGCAAATTCATTTCTGCCCCCGAAGGGTTAAAGCATCTAAAGGAACAAACTTCCGTGGGGAGAGCGAGGAGACGTGCAAAGCACGTTGTAGCTACACTCGCAAAGGGAGGCTCCGAAGCTTGTCACCTGTAAATAAACGTAACCCTGTTCCACTTATTTTTTGATTTACATTGATAACATGATAAATCCAGGACTCGAAAAAAGAGTGTTTTGCTTAAAAATAAACATGCGTGCTCCTTGGGAAAAGCTGAGAGAGACTAGATCACGGGTGGAGTCCCCCCTTCCTACAGCCACCTGCCGTGCGCCGCAGAGCTGCTTCCCATTACAGCTGTACTGCGGAAGTAATTGCTGTTGTACAGTAATTCAATTTCAGTGCTTTCGCGCATCAGTTCACCGATAGGGGTTTATCTGGAGGAACCTGGGACTTGAAGGCTTTTTATCGAGAAATTCCACACGCAGCAAGACGTTTGTCCTGGGTAACGAATACCAGCATTTGCATTTAATAAACGTTTACCTTCCCCGAAAGATGGATATTTCCTCCCCCTGCAGAAGAGATGTACGCCAGTCTTCCAAAAAGCTAGAGGGTACTATGAAAGCGCCTTTCTC